AATATATCCACGAAATCACTGGAGTCATTTGCAAAGAGAGAAGCTGTCTATGTACCCTAAAAATAATTAGAGACAATCCACATAATAGCTAATCACTTGTTTTTTAGTTATTCTTACAGTTGTGCAAGAGTGCGCCTACTCGCGTATTTTCAGACACAATCGCCTACCTCAACATTAAGCGGTCGAATTCGTCTTTTCTCGCCAGAAGGCGACCGTAGCGCACTGGCGACAATCTCATTGGAGACGACGGCTGCCGATCTTGCAAAGGCTTATGACGTCGACTCAATTTACCTTCAGATCGGCAATCTACACATTCGGTCAGTTTCGAGTCTTCGGGCTTCGAATCGTCAAGCTACTTCCGCTTGACCTTCTTTACCTCGGGCCTATAGGATTGAAGCACAGAAAATTTTGTCTGCGGATCCCTAGCATGCATTCTCATTCCCATTCTTGAAGCACACTTTTTCGATTATAGAGTTAAAGGCAGCGTTACGATAAAGAGGGAGCTCATCGGCGGAGCATGTGCACCACACAAATCAGTTACTTGTCTGCCAGGGAAGCGAGATGTGGCGTGTCCGCGACAAAAAGGACGCTGGACACGCCACATCCGCGCGCTGGCTGCCTGAAGACAGGGCTTCGATTCACGTCCCACAAAAGCGATCCGCCCGCTTTCAAGTTGCGTAATTTTAAATGAGCTGCGTTGCCCGCAGCACTACAACTGGAGCATCACATGGTGCCAACGCGTTGCGATGAACTCGTTCATACATCCGTTTTCTGAGCTGTTACCTGTTCATGAGTGAAAACTAACGGCCAAATAAGGGGATTCGTTTTGCGTTTTCTTGACGGATCTCCGCTTTTTTTTAACGGGCGTACAATTGAACACCACCACGTCTCCTCTAAACCTTTCTTGAACAGTCGCAATCGCTGCCTTTAAGTTCAAACCCTCCCAAGCTCTAATGGAGATAGAAAGAGAGATCAGAGTAGGAAAATTAGCCTTGTAATGGCTGAGCAACCAGGGAATAAGGCGTGGACGTTCTTTTACCTCTGCCCTAACCAAAGTCGCGTCATGTCTTCGAAGTACAGTCACATTGACATCGAACTAAACGGAACAATTAAGGTCAAAGGGTGACCTCCTAGCAGGGCCAGTTAGCACCCCCTTCCCCGCTCGACGGTGTTATTTGAGGGAGAAAAAAGTTGAGGAGAAGGGAGTCGTATGAAATCTCTCAGAAAGAGGGGGTCGCAAAAAAATTTCAAAAAGTCCCAACGGTAGGGTTGATCCTGTCTCCTAGAATCATATCTACATTCGAGTACTAGTAAGGCCAACACAATGACTGGACAAGACCATGAAATTTAGAATCAGGGTTTTTTACCGTCCGAGATGGGTCAGAAACAACAACACAAGTGATCTCGAAGCGGAGGGAGGAAGGGATTGGCTAGCGTGGATGGGCATCAAGCCGAGGTTTTGTCCTACACCGTTCGTAGAGTAGCGTCAATTGCCATCAGATTCACCACTTATATTCATGAAAATCATCAGTGCTATCGTCGTAGGGTATTTATCGAGGTGTATATTTCGACCATATAGACATATTTGTCCACCGTTCGGGTGTTCCGTTCGCATGAGTGACCGGCCAGATCGCCCAATATGGGTCGTCGACCACATCGCTAATTACAGTACCGATTCAGCGAAGCCGGACTGGTGTTCGGCGGAAACGCGACGGTAAAAAGCCAAATGCGCGTTCGAAATCAGCAAGAACCGCTTTTTCGAACCATGCTAGACCATTTCAAACGAGAAATGGGCCAATTATCTTCTGAAATAGCTGGAAAGTTGGTCGAGACTCGGTATACGGTACCGACGCGGTTACATAGGATAGAAGTCGGAGCAGAGCAATTAGAGAGCCGAAGCCTCACTTTTGTATGGTTCTGATCGAATCCTGTCGAATACAATTCGTTCATCTAGGGGGCAGTCTGCCGACCAGATATCAAACACCGCTCAGCACATTGACGACTCCATGACGCGCATGCGCGTCAGATTTTCGCGAGTGTGGGCATGAGGTTGGCTGTACGCTTGGTACTTTTTTTATGTGGATTTACGTGTCTACATCATTGGATCCGGAAAAGATCATACTCATCACCCGTAACAATATTTGAGAAAGAGTAGTGCTAGTTGTGGAAAAATATCGGAAAAAAATGATGCCGAGGAGTACGCACAACGGGCTATTGTCAGTGTGTTAAGAGGCGACAACACTAAGTTAAAGGCAAACTCCGGCATTAGTGCCGACTAGTAGGAGGAATATCCAGAGAAAGTGTAAGGTCCGTACCTACCTGAATCACTTCAGCTTCCACACATAGGTTATGGCCTCAATTTCAGCGTTCCCAAGGATTTGTCTTGCTTTCATTCCCTCTTTCAGGTCGTCCCACAGCTAAGCTATCACGACGAAGGGCTCATAGCATCAATTTAATCTCCAGGGCTTTGCCTTTAAACGACTGGCTGGCCCAACGGATAGCCGAAAGACGAGTTGAAATAGTACCTCCGCGATGACGAATTGAAGTTTTTCATATCTAAAGTACGACCTCCTAGCGGACAATTGACCCTATGGGTACCGGATTTCAGTCGAGTTTCCTCATTGAGATCAACACATATATGAGTTAGCTAATGCACTCGTGACCAAAACTGTCAGGGGTTGATATCAGCCATTCGTCTGCCACAACTCGGCACTGCCTAACCACCGAATGGAAACAATAAGTTGGAAAAGATCTTGAAATATAACAAAGGGCTCGAATACTGCGACACAAAAATGATCCAAGTTCAGGTGAGTCTCTTGTCGTCGTCTGGCTTGTTCGGACCATTGCACATTCTTCGCGAGTTCCTGTCATCCCTGGGACATCCGGAGACAACCATTCGGAGCACAGGCACGGAACTGCGATTTCGACATTTGATCGCTTTTTTTCTTGGTTAGTTGTTCGTTTACATTCGAGGACAAAATGCCAGGTTATCCGATAGATGAGTGGCGGAGGGTCTTGTCGATACCACTCGCGAGGGAGGGGGAAGGGTCACGAAATTTCTGAAATTGGAATAACCTATCGTTGACCATGTGTATGGCTTTCTTTCTTCAGGGCGTCCTGTGCTGCAACCAAACAGTATCGCCCGATCAGAGATTCTGATAGCCAACTGTGATGTCCGTCGGGGAAGGCTTGTGCATCGATGGAGTCGTCATAAATGTCTGCTCTATAACGGAAGTCTTCGGATACAAAAAGGTAAGTCCATAAAATTTTAATTCAAAATTTTCTACTCTGAAAAAACATTTTCTGAAGAAAGTGCGCGGTTACCTAACAGCTACGCCGTGCACCTTCTTCAATGAAGCTTCTAAACGCTTCTAGACTGGGTAGAACCGAAGGGGTTGCGCTTGTGATTCATCGATTTCTTGATGTTCTTGATCAGCAGGTATGTTTCGACGATGAACTATACTTCATTCTTTTCTTTCAGGGACGGGGGAGGACGACGTGATGAGCTTGTCGCGATGTCGTGTCGATGTGTGGGAATCTAGACGCGGTCGCTGCCTTCGTGTTCAGCACTCCGCTTCTGTAATCCTACTGCATTTCGACGAACCAGAAGTTTGCGCTTTGGTCAACGGCATGTCGACAGGTAAGGCTTTTTTTTAGAGGCATATTTCACTACGAAATGACCAATTGAGTCCCTTCTATGAAGAACGTAGAGTAATGTGCTAGTGCACTGTATCGGTGGGGCTCAAGGTGCGTTGTTAAAGGAAGTTTAAAGGAATCTTCCACGGACCATGGACCAGTGGGCGGGACCGGAAGTGGTTTTGCGACGAAATGCATGGTAGGTACGGATCCACGTTCATGGGAAGGTTTGAAGTGAATCCTGTTCACGTTCGTGCGTTCGACACGTGGATCCGTACCTACCATGCATTTCGTCACAAAAACTTCCGGTCCCGCCCACTGGTCCATGGTCCGTGGAAGATTCCTTTAAGTCTAATTCGCTCAAGCGACTCCAACTCCATACCTAAGTCAATCATCACACTTGCCTTTTTTGGATCATCAACGACACCACCCTCTTTGAGGGGTCTCGAACTGACCATCCCTCTTCAACGACCATGGACCCCCTCAACTTCTACAAATACGAGCCCGCGTCGCAATTTTCAACAAGACGATTATGGTTAACCAGCTCCAAAACGACCTCCGTTCGGAGTGTCTGAAGGGACGGTTGAGCTTGTTTCATACCCATGACTACGCCTCGAAAATTATGTTAGGCCGACGTCAGACCCTGCGAATCGCTCGTTTGCCTTTCGGCGCCTCGCGTGTTGCTTATCTCCGTGCTATCTCATCCACTGGATCTCTCTTCTCGACACCCTGTATTTTTTCGCTGTAACTTGAAGCAGTGCTTGAAATTACCTGCTACTAATCCATCTAGGGAAGGTAAACAAATTAGGAAGGATGCAGGGGACATGTAGTGGGTCAGCGCAGATCTGATTCGACCTGAGATTCACAGATCGGAAAGACATTCAGCTCTAGGTCAGGTCATCAGAGCTGCGCAATGATTTAATCAAGATGTAAGCTTAGTTATCAGATTATGAGTGCACACTGAAAATTTAGCTTAAGTCTGAAGTAGGCTTAGTTTATCTAGCTTATGCGAGAATCAAGAGGTGTCCTTTTTCTGAGGTCTCGTTCGGGGGGGACGTGAGGAGAAGAACTGCAACGCACCCTCCCACACCGTGCACTTTTGCAGCAGCGCCTCCTACCGCTACACCCCTCTGTTACATAATTCCATTACTGAATATGTTTATTTATTAATCCATTAGCTCATAAGCTTTGATTGCAGAGTGGGCAACGGAATGTATGCGACCTGAGCGATCGGAAGCTTACACTTCTTCCGGAATCGCTGTTGTGTTCGGAATCGTACGAAGTTCAACAGCTGAATCTGAGGCGAAATTCGCTTTGCGTCAGGAATAGCACCGATGTGAGCGTTCTTGTTTGTCACTTGTTTTCGAGGGTGTCAGAAAAGCATAGGTATGGGATGGATATTACGGCCTTCATAATGGAAGAATAAAGGATAAAGCATTTGCCGTTGATCAATCCCTTTTTGGGATGCGGCGCATTCTACTTCCATTTGTACATTCGTAGTGGCGTTTGAATGCGATGTGGCCTATACAATGACTTGCGGGGGCCAGCCGATGTACAAGTCAGTGTTTTTATCCTCCCAGACAAGTCTGGTACCAATTAACCGACCCCGGAGGGATGGAAGGCTTGGTTGGCCCGGGCGACTCACGACCCAGGATTTGATCCCCGGACCGCTCGCGTGGTGAGCGTGCCACTTGCCACTACACCACTTCCGCCCTTTTGTTTATTGATATCGAACAAACTTTGCCCATTGCTTCCTCTAGCACGTATGATCCTAATGAGGTGGGAGGCCTCTTGAAAATTGTGAAGAGTGAGCTGATAAACCAGGTACGCAATCCACCACAATAAACTCAATACAAATGTTTTTCTTTTAAACACGTATACCACTTTCCTTCAGAATCCTAGTGACATTTTGAATGTGATTTGGTCTATCCAACGACTTCCTGGGGCCAGTCGATGTACAGATCAGAGTGGTTTTGTTCTTAGAATTAAGGTACAATTCAACTGACCCAATTGAGATGAAGGGTCACTCAGAAGCGTGGCCGACCCAGATTTTTAATCTTGGATTGTTCGTGTGAGGTAAGCAGCCACCTGCAATCTCCTTACACCACTTTTAGTCCTTATAATGAGCTTTGGTCCGGACCATCTCAACATACGTAGAAGGAGTAATTCACCTAGTAGAATGAAGGTCACGAAAAAATCCTGAGGGTGCGAACTGACGCGCAATTCGCATGGAAAAATTTGACCTCGGCGACCTATCATGCCTCAAAGCTGGCGGGTCCGGCGATCTCCGCCCACCGATCATCTGATCACTCGCCGTAGTTCAATACGTGGCGAGTGATTAGATAGCTGAGAGAGCGTAGTGTTGAAGAGGGCACAGCGATGAGAGTCGCATCAATGCTCGAATCAACGGGCAAGGAAGGGGTACCATTTCTCGGGTTCTGGGCCGTTTCTCATGGTTCTTCCTTCTTTCGTGTACCACTCACCATCCCTAGGTTAATTTGAAATGGGTTGCTTTTTCATCGTGAATTCGTCCTTTAAGGGGGACATCTTTCCATTTTCAGCCGTCACCTGTTCAAATTGGTTGGTTGGGACGATCTGAACCGGCTCACCTCTCTCACATGTCCTCGATCTGTCGTCGAATCGTCTCGCCGTGTTTCCTACCTCAATCCTCAACTGCCAAATCTTCAGAAATTGAATCTCTCGTCCAACTGTATTCAAACGATCCCACCGAGCGTGAGACTACTGAGCGTACGTCTAAATAATTTGATAAATACATTGCTCATTTATTTGGGCGCTATTTACCTTTTACTGCCGCCCGTCTCCTCAAAAACTGAGCCGCATTTCGATCCCAATTTTTCCATGACTAAGGATTTGCCTAGAAAGTGGTCTCGGGAGTAAGATTCTCGAATAATCACACCAGTGATACGAAACGTTGGCATCGGCGCCAAAGACGCTTGGCGCCATCACATTAGTTCTGTACCCACACCCGTAGCGGAGGCAGCAAACTCACCCGCAACGAACCAATATTCATGTTCGACGGGTTAAACTAGGCGTGGTTCAAATTCTCGGCCAGAATCTTGGGCTAGGTATTCGTGGACGCCTTCCTCGCACTGGTAGTGCAGGGGCGCAAGGCATTTTCACGCCAAACGAACATGATGTTCGTATTCTATGGGTCGAACTAGCACCGATGGCAAATTTCTAGTGAAATGCTCTGTCAGGGAAAAATTCGATGAAAATCCAGCTCAGTTCGGAGCTGTGGGACAGTAAATAAAGTGATAGTGGCCATAGTTATTAATTTATTAGGTTGTCTCAGAAGTTCGTGCGTATTTTGAACTTATGTTTGAGCCCGCTCTTTTCCAAGCACATGTGCAACCTATCATCGTTATATGTACCACCACTATCAGTGACTTGTTACCAACATCCAACCAAGGAATGGCTATTCAACTCTCAAAAGGCTGGCAGTTATGAGCTGGAAAAGGCAGTGAGGTTGATTTTGAGGTGCTCGTGGGAATTGTATTTTTTGTCGGCACGAAGGCGGCTGAGCAGAAAGGGCAGATGTCTTTCGAAAGAGGATGATTACCGCTGCACGATGAATGTGGTAGGACTTTTTCAGCTAAGCTTCGATATTGAGAATCGCTTCATTTTCGAAACGTGTAGTCTCAGGTGTCGTGGAGCGTACACACTTTTTTGAGTTTTGACGGCAGTTGTTGGACTTTCACCGTGAGTCTCTGCCGTTGATCTGCCTACACATGAGTGAATTCATAGCTATAATGATTGACATGCCTTTAGTGGTTTACTCGAGAACGCACCAAAAGAGGTGGAGCACGACCTTGTGGTGAATTTCTTCACTTTTCACCCTCTTCTGTTCGATCCAGTCCCTGAGGATTCTAGGTGTGGTTATCATGAAACCTGAGCTTCTCAACTGCAGTAGTGGCTTTGTTCAACCAGGGCGTACGGGTGGAGTAGGAACCAAATTATGGACGGAGTGCGTGTCGCACTCCTGTCATCGGTGGTCAATTCATGGGGGAATCTTTGGCGAGGCTTCAAGCATATTTCGAAGGAGCGAGAACCTTCACGAATTGTGCATCTGGAACATCAGGATGTGGTGGCCACAAAGCAGGGAGCCCCGTGTGGAGTGGCTCCCAGGAAAGAGTACAGGCTCTCCAAATCCGACACTGATGACCTCTCTGAACGAGGGTTTGTCTACCAGCTGTAGTCTCCCAAGCAGAGAAGATCCAGCTATTCTGATACCTCACTGTTGGTGAGGGCAAGGAGATGCACCGCGATGCAGACGCCGCTTTTGGCTTCAATCGGTTTGTGGCTCAGTAGAGCTGCTTACGTCAGAGCGCGAAAAACATAGCTCTTCTCTCTTTCCACTTTGAGCTCGAAGAAGGCGACGATGGTGGGTAAGATTCGGGTATAATTTACTACACGGTGTGCCCTATCTACAGCCTACGTGAACATATTTAGAATTTGTTGAAGGAGCTTGTGGCATGAGATCCAATAAATACGCACGAACTTTCGAGACAACCTAATAGAAGATAGCTAGATATAAATTCGTTTTATACGAAGTTTAGGCTGTATGCCCGTTTAGAGGGGAAGATCATGATGCCAGTTTCTCGGTGAACTCGAACATTTCAGCTTTTCAACGTATGTCAAGTGACTGCCTCACCCCCTCCCCCACTCTCCCTAGGCTGGCTACACTCCCCCTGGCTCGGAGTTACCTTAGCGTTCTGGAAAACTGTATCGCGATGCCCCCCCCCCTAACTGGAGTAGACCCAGATTTCCTTTGCTGATTAGATCTTATTGGGACTAAAACTGTTCATCGCGGTTAAAACCTTTACATTTTTTGGAAACAGATTGCTAAGTTTTGTGAATTATTGTATGTAGTGAATTTTACCCTGGAAAACGGGGCAGGACCGTGATGAACTTGAGTGGAAGTAGCTCGATCTTTTTTCTCAGACTGGTTTCGTTTGATCTGGAAAATAATTGGCTCAGCTCTCTGCCAAATCAGCTGGTTGAATGCGATCAGCTTGTCTGGCTCAACCTTCGATTCAATCGAATTAAACGAGTTAGTTATTTTTCATTTTTCCTTTCCTTAGAACGATTTCTTTGCAAGGTATCATTGTAGATTTGACTACTGTTTTGACCGGAATAACTAAGTTTCAGGTACCAGAAGAAATCCTAACACGTCTACCTCACTTGGCAGAATGGGCTCTGGCCGGAAACTACATCGAGAATATGGATATCGATGAACCCGTGCATATCATGAAGGTCACTTTGGCTATTTTGATCCTTGTTACAAAGAAAAATGGCATGAAGTGAGATCGGCACCAAGTCGCATTGGTTCTGCTCACGTTGTCAAGAGTGGAATACTAGCTGTATGCTATTCCACAAGTACCAATTAAGAAAGATAGGACTTGTAAACGGAATATCTAGAACGGCTCGTTCCGTGCCTTCCTTGAGCGAACGCTGATCAGGCCAGGCAAGCCTTCCACTCTTCGTGGGTAAAGGAACGTGCAGCAATGGTGTAAAAATATTGTCGCTATCCGCAGTATACGGGGGCATTGTGGATGGCTTTGAAAACGACGGTAAATGTTTTTCTGTGATGAACGGGGGTCTAAGACTTGAGGCGGGGGAAGGCGGACAGACTCCAGGTGCATAGCAATTCATTTTCCCCTCTCTCCTGCCCGCCTAGGCTTTCGTCCTACAGGTTTCCCCGATCATATTTGCGGAGTAGCGCCGAAATATTGCTGTTGGACGTGATGAGGGCCAAATTTCTGGTTGCAATTTATGTTGTTTTGGAAAATGTAGTAATTATATTGATTCTTCGTAGACTAAGAACTAATCATTAAGCTCTAAGCAGATCATTAAAAATATTATTAAAATATGGGAAATGGAAAACGAATATAATGAAACAAAAAACATCAGAAAAATACAAAATTATTACAATCACTGATTCATTGCTTCACGATGCTCAGAAGAAAGGCTATTCGAACGAGGTTATTCTTTGAATTTTAATTTTTTTTTGACTTTCAAAGGGTGGGAAAACTCAAAGCAGTTGGTTGATCTTCGTTCCGCACATGCACATAATTTATAGGAAATTTGTTTATTTATGACTATTGTTACAGAAATAAAACAAATAACACAAGTCTGTGCAAAAACCATTGCACAATATGTAAAATAAGCAGAAAATTAATCTAGTTAGACGTGAAACAAATGTGTAGAGGAAATGGGACTAAATTTGAATCCTTCGTTGCTCATTCGAGTCCAGGCACAGTAAAAGTACAAGATCTAAGCATATACCTTTTGAGATCGGCTTGGATGTTTACTTGTTTATATTTGGAAACAACCTTCACAACGGAGTTTCAAATAATAGAAAACGGCTGTTTTGATCAATATGGAGAGGACCTTGCTGTTCGTTGTTATCAGACGCTTCGCTTATCGCAGCAGGTCCTGCATAGAGACAGATGACGGTGTCATTCAGCACGTGTTGCTGCTGTATTCATTCTTCTATATCTAATTTTGCTCTTTACTAACTATTTATTCTCTGCCAGTTATTCTCAGAATTCAACTGCTATACATTGTATTTGTTTGGTTCCGATAAAGCCGATGTCTATATTCGTAATCGCAGCTGCTGAATAGCCAGCGATGGCAGAAGATGGTCTAAAGCTCAATTTACGACGAAATGGATTAACCTGAAAAATGTGACATCATACGACAGCTTTTTTCATTTGGAAAGAATATTTCCATGCTCTCATCTCACGCCCACGCATGACGGGTGAAAATGGAGTTGCGGGTGGGAGGGGGCGCTATACTGTGCTTCAGATATCTATCATCAAGGGCAAAAGGGTAAGAAGAGAACGCCTTCAGGCCTAGTATAAAGCATTGGTAAAAGATGCGTCTATTATTTTGGACTGTCATTTTTTGGATACTTAATTAGTGAAAGTGTGAAAGTTCCCTGCTTTCATATTTCGGCATACGGCGCGATCCTGACCACGAATAGACGAAAAGCCCATGCTTAAGGGAGGGAGGAGCCCTAGGGTGGGTGAGCACTCATCACGTGCGAAAACTTTAACAGGATGTGGAGAGAGGTGTGTAGGATATAGAACACTCTTTCACAAAAACCTTGAAATTTTCATTGTTTAAAAATTTGACGCTACTCCTTACTGCTACTTACTCTAGAAATTCAAACAAATGAAGTCGAGTGAAGTGAATAAGGAGCCGAAATTCACTCAAGTTCAGCAAAAACCAAGACTTATCGATGTGGAAAGGGGTGCGATAAGAGCGTGCTAGATATGATACCGTTATCGTCCCGTTTTCATTCTGGAGTGCACCTCTTATCAAGCAGCCGCACCTTCTTATCTCATCGTATCATATCTTCCATGGGCTTACACTCGTCCAACAATTACTGCCTCACACCTTATCGATTGATAACGCGAGGGTAGCAAATCCAGCGTGGAAGCCAGCGTGACTGCTTCCTTTAAAGTATACTTCTGATAAGTATGGGTGGGTGAAAATTCAGTTTGGAAGGCACTCCCTGTTATCTTATCTGTAGTGCTCCGAGAGCACTCCAATTGGAAGTTTTAAAGGAAGTGGTCACGGAAATTCCTATGGAGACGATAGGGAAAGTGACATAGTGGATTGGGTAGGGGTCCTACCCAATGGGACGACAGGTGACGCTTCAGGGGCAGTGGCGCCTTATCAACGGCGTGATAAGGCGCCGAAACCCACTTCCGGTTCGGCGTTACACCTCCTTATCAGACGTGGAAGGGGATGCAACAGCAGCGTGCTAGATATGATACGGTTATCGTTATCGTTCGATTTTCATGCTGGAGTGCACCTCATTCCAAGCAGCCGTATCTTCTTATCTAATCGTATCGTATCTTCCATAGGGTTAAGCTCGTCCAAACACTATCTATCGCCGACCTTATCGGTTGATAACGCGGAGTTCGGCGATCCACGTGGAAGCCAGCGTGACCGCTTCCTTTAACCCTATGGATAAGATAATAGGTAACGCTTCATTCAAGTGCACTTTCGATAAGGACCGGTGTATGCCCCCTCACGCTATACGTTTCACATCCTAGGAATTTACGGTAGGGTGATCGTGCACCCTGGGCTCTGCACTCTTGTGTCTAGGAAAGGATGTCCAAACCCTAGTTGAGGACCATTTGCTTGGACCATAACAGGTCAAATCTGAAGGCACCTTGGGAGCACTCTCTTTGCTACACCGGTCCTTATCGGAAGTATACTATTGGTTTAAATGAATCAGCTTATCGTTGTCATGGAACTCTGTCATCTTATCCTTAGTAGGAGAAGCCACAATGAGTGCCGTCCCCTTCTCCCAAACTGGAAGTTTACGTATCGGTTATAGCGTAGGAAAGCACCTAAGGTGCTTCCACAACTTGGGCCGTGCAATGGCCCAAAGGAAACGTCTTGAATTAGGGAGTAGAGGACATTCGCGCTGGATCTTATGAGTGGAGGCAGCCCAACAAAATGGAGTGCTTCATCTATAGACAAATATGTAGAAGCCCCCCCCCCCTGAGATAGCATTTTACCTGGCGCGCCTTTTGGCCTGAGGAATACAGAAATCAGGACGTTTGTTGTTTTCTGTTGTTGTAAGTTGTCAACGTGAATTTCCTCAGTGTTAGAAGCGTACAGAACAGTGTAATGACAATCTCCTTCCACACCCCTTTGAACTCATTTTCACAGTTTGATTACAAGCGCTTTGGAGACAGAGTGCAGGCGTTGCATCAATGCCAATGCAAACTCTACAAGGGTTCTGCAGAACAGTCGTGGTATGAGTCTACCCTCGGCTGAATACTTCCATTTTCCATTTCATTCTACAGGATTCAAAAAGAAATTGCTAATCATTCCGTAGCTCGACGAAATTTTCGCGCGATGTGACCACCTGGCGCTTAATTTTTCTTATTTTGTGACGATTTCCCCTTTTTCAAAGTCCAATAGTTGCTTTCCTTTCCTGATAACCTAAGAAAGAACAATTTGAGTACTGCCAATCAGTTTCATTGATCAGAAATGAAATGCAACGAAGAAACACGGGGTGGCTGTATCATTTGGAGACGATGGAAAAGCGACGCTTTTTGGAAAAATTGGAATAAAATTTTTTCGCATTTTCAACCTGGAATTTTGTATTGATTTTCGAATTCGCGACCAAATTTGACACAGTTTTCCTGTTGGACATTTTTCCATAAACTTTGTGGAATTCGAGATTTTCAACAATTTCTAGGTGGCTGTATCATTAGGAGACGCAGTGTAGTTCTGAGAAAATTACTTCAGCGCCTCGAGGCGATAGCGTCGCAATCGTTCTCCATGTCTGCTACACGGTTCTCGAGAAGGAATTTCGCCCACTCTACCTAAGATGCTGTCCTTATCGGAAGTGCACTATCTCTTTGTGCAGGCATGTGTAGGCAGGTACTGATGGAGTAATGATGTCGAAAATCATTCTGGCTATGTAGCTCTGCTTGACGATGTGGACAGAGAACGAAGGTAATAACGCGAACGATGGAGACGCAGCCGGTCACTCTGATCAGCACTAGAAAGTCCTACGGAGGATACCTCACACGGAGCGGTACTACATAGAGCGAAACGATTGCGCTGGGTGGAGATAAGTTTCATGCGTTATCAACCGGAGGACTAGAGATAAGAGCTGAGCTGGACGAGCGTAACCACATGGAGGAACAATACCATATAAAGGAAGATACGGCTGCTTGGAATGAGGTGCACTCCAGAATGAAAATCGGACGATAACGATAACGGTAGAATATCAACCATTGCAGTCCCTTCCACGTCCGATACGTAGGTGGTGCCGCATACTGGTATTGGATTTCGGCGCCTTATCACAAGATTGACAACAGCGCCCCTGCCCAATCTCAGCCATCGGGTAGGCTCCTACCCAATCCACTATGCAAGTTGCCCATTCGTTCCCGTGGGATTTATCGCCACCAATTCCTCTAAACAGAGGTAAACTGATAGCTAGGAGTTGTCGACAGCCGTCAGGCGCCACTCACTCCCCTTCCCACTTTCCCAATTCCCTCGTTTCCCTTAATATAGAAAAAATATGTATAGCCAATTCTGTTATGTAATGTTAGTATATCTACCGCTACACACCCTCACATTGAGGGGCCATGAATCTCTAATCTGACAGTGCCGTGCCCCGTGTGGGGCACGCCCTCCATCAAATAAACGAACCCGACGGGAGAACGAAGAGCGGCAAAAAGGAGGGTGTGTAGTAGGTGGAAAAGGTAGTGACAACGAGAGTGTCACTAGAGCCATCGACAGCATTGATAACTCCTTGGTAATAAGGT